GGGAGACCAGTGGGGCTTTTGTTCCCTAAAAAGCTGCAGGAGGCCGGGGGCTGGGCGTGGGCTCTGGAGCTCCACAGCCTGGCCTGCGTGGCATTTTCATTGCTGCCGTTCAAACCCCAGCCTGGCTTCCTACAGATGGGAGTGGCTGTGACTTGGCACCTAACTGTTTAACTTTTCCGAGCCTCTCGGTCCTCACCTGGCTCAAGCCCGGCATCTGTTTTACGTGGGACCTTGATCCCCGTGGCGATGCAGAGACAGAGCCTAAATGACTCAAAGGCTTCCACTGCCCGGCTGTGCACCCACTCCGTCCTCTAGCCCAGACTGCAGCATTCAGGTCCCTTCCCTTCCAGAAAATTCTGTGGTCAGAGAAAGAACACAGAACTGGGGCTGGTGACTCAGAGATGGGAGAATTCAGCGCTCTGCCTAAGCTGGAACCTTCGCTGAGAGGCGGCTCTACTGGCCGCCCCATGTATGTTCTCAAACCGGCCTGCAGGCCTCACTCAGGCCTTCCCCTCAGCTGGGATGCAGGTGTGTGCACGTGTCTGCTCACTCTGCACTCCTACGTGAGCATTCACCATGTTTGGACCCTGTGCCCTGTGCTCTGGGGGCCTGAGGATGGGTGAGAAACAGTACTCACTGCCCCTCAAAATCTTTCCTATCCTTTGAGCTCATGCCCATCTCCCCTCCATGGCACCCTTGTGCCCATGCTGAGCTCAGAGGGTCCAGAAGCTGCAGTCTAATAACAGCACGGAGTTGAGGACGCTGATGGGGACAGGTCACCAGAGGAGAAGTCAGCAGATTCTGAGGGGACCTAGTCCCTCCCCACGGGTCCTGTGCTGTGAGTAGGGACAGAGCTGGGCTGGTCAGGAAGAGCCTGAAGACTGTGGCTGAGGTCAAAGGGCCAGGGGACCCACCCCCATTGGTGCCAACATGCCTCTCCGGCTACTGCACCTCCACAAATGGCCACATGGGGTCAGTGTCCTTTCACGCTTCAGTTGGCGTGGCCCAGGCCCACAGCCCTCCCTGTCTCCTTTCAGGCAGCCCAGGGTCCCAGAATGGGGGACGATGACTAGTAAACACACACACACACACACACACACACACACACACACACTCTCACACACACACACACACACACACACACATTCACGCACACACACACTTTGTCTTCTGCTCATGTTTTTTTGGGAAATGCTCAGAAAACACTATTTAAACAATCACCACGTTATTACATCTCCAAAGTAAATAGAATTATTCTTATCTGCTAGGGATTGGACTGAGTTTTGAAAACCAAGTTTTTTAATGAAAAAAATAAAAAGCTTACAGAAACTTTGAATCACTAATACTATTCACGTAGCTGTAGATTTATGATGAATGTAATGATCCAAATAAGTTTTCACTTATCTGGTGACTAATTCAAGAATAGGGGCGTTTACCATGCACTTGTTTTATTGAAAACAAGTTTAATGCAAATGAAATTTTCTTACTTTTTATTCCTTGAGTGTCAATAGTTTTTAATAACAGATAAAACAAACAGTGTATAGTATATGCAATCCGATTTGGGATTTTACCTACCAAAGCATTTTATTGGGGACACACACACACACACACACGACCCACTCTGATTTTTTTTCCTTTAGAAGGTAACCTTTTGATTAGACTTTGCTCAGATTTTGTTTTGGCTCATGTTTTTTTTTTTTTTTTTTTTTTTTTTTATCCATATCAGTCAGCCCCCAACATTAAAGACAGACATCACAATAAGCCTACAAAAACAAACAGAAAAAAGGACCCAGGAAATAGTAGTGTAAGGTGCTGAAGATAACAAACCATTATAATAACCTCCAGAAAGATCAAGATTAAGAAATAGAGGATTCTATATATAAAGGAAAACACCCAGAGAAAAAGCAGCAGCCCTTGAAAATGTAACATACGATAAACTAAACTCCGTGGGGGTGGGAGGGGGCAATGCAATACGAACTCATGGAACTCCCCCCAAACAGAGCAAAAAGACAGAGAGAAGGAAAACAAGAAGGCCAAATAGACCAAAGACGTTTCACCAGACTGGAAGAGACCAGAGGAACTGAGAACAAAGCACAATCAATAAACAAATGCAAGAAACAGTTTCAGCCCCAAGGCCATAAATCACCAGCTGAAAGAACCCAAAGGGCCAGCGAGAGGATGACGAGGGACCCACACGGCGGTGCTTCATCTCGGCCTGTCAGCCCGCCAAGCACCAAGGGGTGATCATATCAGCCTGTGAGGCGGAGGAAGAGTCGCATGCAAAGACCAGCACCGAGAGGGGATGCGGCTGCTTGCCAGCAGCCAGGAGCTAAAAGACAAGGAATGACACCTTCAAAACAGTGGGAGCAATGCCTTCTGGTCCCCTATTCTGTTTGTAGTCACACGTAATCCTGGTAGAGCAGGCTAAAGACACCTGGTTGTGCACAACGTTAAATCGCCTCCCGTGCCCCTTTCTCAGGAAGCGACGGGAGCAGGAGCTCCACAGAAAATGAAGGGATAGCCCGGTGGGTGTGGCTCAGTGGTTGAGCATCAACATACTATGAACCAGGAGGTCACGGTTCAATTCTCAGGCAGGGCACTTGGCCAGGTTTTGGGCTCCATCTCCAGTAGAGGGTGGGCAGGAGGCAGCCGGTCAATGATTCTCTTTTTCTCATCATGGATGTTTTTATCTCTCTTTCTCTGAAATCAATAAAAACATTAAAAACATTTTTTTTTTAAAGTGAGGGAATAAATCAAGAAGGAGAAAGATAGGGTCTACAAGCAACTCAGGAGGAGGAATTTCCAGGAGAAGGCGAAGGGAACACAGCCCTGGGCTCTTTGAAGCCCAGGCAGAGCAGAAGCTGAGGGCGGGGCCACGGAGCCCAGAGAAAAACAAGCGTCCATCACTCAGGGTCAGGTCCCTGGGAGAGGGGACTTTGGAGAGAGGTTAGTGACATGCACCTCAAGGACAAAGCAGACAACAAGGGCAGTACTCAACATGGGAGGGCAGAAGGTGGCAGCCACTCAACCCAGCAAGAGGAGACTGAGTTGGGTGCAGAATTTACCCAGGAGTAATGCTAATACTGATTAAAAATAAATATATTTGTATTGATTTCAGAGAGGAAGGGAGAAAGGGAGATAGAAACATCAGTGTTGAGAGAGAACCATTGATCAGCTTGCCTCCTGCGTACCCCCGACTGAGGATCAAGCCTACAACCTGGGCATGTCCCTTGACCCAAGTCAAACCTGAGACCCTTCAGTCCACAGGCCAATGCACTATCTACTGAGCCAAACTGGCTAAGACGCAAATACTGATTTTTAAACAGTGCCATCCATTACTGTGAGGTGGTGGAGTGTGTGCTGTGTGTGTGTGTGTGGCAGGTAAGATAAATAAATCCTTATTTTTCATAGTGGCAGTTAATAAAGGATGTCTGAAATGAAAAAGAAGTGAAATGAATAAATAGCCTTTAAATATGGAGGTGAAGATTTGAAACCAGCTAAAGGACGTACAAGTGGTTGCCTGTGGGGCCGGGGCTGGGAGGGCGCTAGGGGATGCAGATGGCTCTTGGTTTTTGTTAGAAAGCCTTGAAGTACCATTTAACTTCGAAAATCCCCTTTTGCTTTCATTACACTCAACGCAAAAATTAATGGCAATTCCCCAAACCTCTGCCCCCACAAGCCCTCTGCACTCAGAAACCAGGCCGCCACGAATCTGAGAACAGGCTTCACGTCCCCCTCGCCCCCCCCAAGCCCAGCAGAGTTCCCCCAATCAAAAGCACCCTCTGCTCCTTTGTAGGAGAAAGAAACCCAGCCGACAGCACACCAGCGGGTCGAGCTCTGCGCCAATCCCCCCACCTCCCTCCCTCCCAGCTGCTGGGCCCCTGCCAAGACTTGGTTCTTTCCTGAATCAAAGCAGTAAACCCTCAATCTCCTGCCCCATCCCCCACCCCAGATCCAGCCAAACTGACTTTGCGGGATTTATTAAAACGGGAGGACTCTAACCCATGAAGGGACACACACACACACACACACACACACACACACACACACCTCGAACCACAAGGCATCTTCCCAGTGCCCGTTGTCCTCTGGGGAGGGCAGAGTGGATGGGCGGCCCTGGGAGGCCCCGCAGATGGGAAACTCGTTAACAGACGTGAGCCTCGGAGTCGGAGGGACACTTGGAGACCTGTGCATTTCAGGAGTCCGGGGGTATTCATGGGTTGCCTAGAAACCAGAGGCCAAATAGGAAACAGGAAGCCCATGGGGGAGTGAGGCTTGAATATTTCAGCATCATTTCCAGAGTGGAGGCTGCATGCCAACGCCTGAGGGCTGCAGCTCTGGTCCTTATTTCTCTTCAGCCTCGGGTCCCCAGAACCCCTTTCACCTCATCACCCCCCCCCCCCCCCCCCCCCCCCCCCGCCCAGAATCTCACTTAGAGGTAGATGTAGGCTTCTTAAAGGGTCCATGTTAGAGCCCACATGTGTGTGCGTGCGCATGCATATATACACATACACACACACACACACACACACACACACACACACACACACACAGGTTGTGAAGCCAGTTTCTGGGAGTGTAACAGAAGTATCCTCTCACTCCTCCAGGTTTCCTGCAGCTGCAGGCGCTGCCTGAGCAGGGCACTGATTTACTGCTTCCATTTGTGCGTCCCCGGGTGAGGCTGTGTCTGTCTCAGTTCGTCCCAGAATTCACTTCGGGAGCCACGTGTGGCCAAGTTTGGAGACAAGGGAGCTCAGAGCATGAAACACAAGCGTCCCCCAGCCGGACTCGCCGACCCCGTCTTTCTGTGCTGCAGACACAGGCCTGGCCTGTGCAAGTCCCTTCAGAGGGTAGATTCGTGCACTCTTCCAGTCTGTGTGTCTGTCTCTGCCAACGCAGGTGGAACCTGCTCCTTGCTCCCGCCTGAAGCTCTCCACGGGGCCCCAGTTCTTCGTGCTCACCCCTCCTCCACACCCCTAGACCTCTGACTGCCGCTCTCATTGGGCACCAGCATCTGCAAAGTGTGTGTGGTGTGGATATCAGGGTCAGGTTAACCTTGCTTTCCATCACGGATTCAATAAACATGGAGCAGTGATCCTACATAAACATGGAGGTCTCTGGTTTAGCACAGCTAAGTCTGATTGTTCCCCTCCATACAAGTACTCCAGGTACTGCTCTTTGCCACTTGTTAATATCTGCTGGGAGTCCAGTGTGCTGATTGCTGCTAACAGTCAGGGTACAATTAAGGTGCTGGAGTTGGTATGAAAGGTTTACTCAAGTGAAATTGTACTTTGTCCTGCTGACATATACTATCTGCAGCCAACGGTGAAAGAAGATAGAGACTGTCACAAGTCTCCCCCCAACATCATCATGGGTTTTGAATTTGTTTTGAGTATTTTTTTATTTTACTCCCCCCCCCCCCCCCTGCTTTATGCTCTTTGGGACATTGGGAATGCCCAGTGAACTATGCACCATCAATGTAACTCTGTGGACGTTGCTGCTGTTGATGGTGTAGTTATCTAATTTTTGCGATAGGGAAACAAATTCTTTTAAATAAAAGTAAATAACAAACAAACAAACAAATAAATATGGAGCACCCTAACCTCTCTTTAGCCTCAGTCTCTTCCTCTACAAAAAAACAAAAACAAAAACAAACAAAAAACATGGATGATCCTCCCCTTCAGTGAAGTTCTGAGGCCGGGGGTATATGAGATATCTGGGTCTTCAGTAGACGATTCTCCCAAGGAATCATACAAAGAGTCCGCAAGCACGTGGGAGGAAGCCCAGTGTCATCTGCCATGAGGGAAAATGAAAACGAAAACCACCATGAGATACCGCTCCACTCCCACCAGGACGGCCGTAAGGGAAATGAAAGACAACACGTGTTGATGTGGATGTGGACAAATTGGAGCCCTCCTACGTCCCTGGTGGGAACGTAAGATGTAAGCTGCTGTCGGAAACAGTTTGGCGGTTCGTCAGAAAGTTAAACATGGAGTTACACGGGACCCAGCAATTCCACCCTTAGATACGTATACCCCAAAGAGTCAAAGCCAGACACTCAAACAAAACACAACGTATACACGGATGTTCATAGCAACGGGACTCACAGCAGCCCACGTGTGGAAAAACACCCAGATGTCCTTCAACTGATGAACGGACAGTGACCTCTCCACACAATGGGGTCTTACTCGGCGACAGAGGAATGGAGTTCTGGCACATGCCGCCCCATGAGGAACCTATACGAGGTGAAGGAAGCCGGAAACCAAAGTGCCCATGTTATATGGTCTCATGGATGTGAAATGAGATGAGGTAAATCCCCAGAAACAGAAAGCAGATTAATGGTGGGCTGGGGCTGGGGGGAGGGGGACAGGCGGGAAGTGACTGCTTATTGTGTACAGGGTTACATTACGCCGAGGAGGGAGGGGTGTCCCATCCTTCTGAAAATAGGAAGATTCTCAACATGCTTTTCCAATGGCCTTTTTGGGGGGCAGCCTCTCTAGACTTAATTCTGACCAAGCACGCGCACACACACACACACACACACACACACACAAAATAAATAAATAAATAAATAAATAAATAAAATAAAAACAAAAAACGCACACACACAAAACTGGGAAGTACAGATGGCAGAGCTAGTGAGCAGGTACACTTGCCATCGTAGAACGATAAGCCACTGTGACAACCAGAGAGACAGGGAGCACCGGGACCAGGACCTCAGAGTCTAGGTTAGCCATTGCTGCCTAACCAGCCACCCCGGAGCCTGGTGGCTTCCACGAGAACCATTTACAAACTGGAGACAACACCTCACGCCCACTGAGATGTCTCCTCTCAAGGCAAACAACGAACCCAAAGCGAGAGAGCAGAGCTAGGAAGCATCGGGAAGGACGCGGGAAGGACGCGGAGAGACGGGAACCCTTGTTTCTGTGGGTGGGGCTGTAAAGAAGCGCAGCTGCTATGGACAACAGTGTGGGAGTTTCTCAAACGACTGAAAATAGAATGACTATCATCCAGCAATCCCACTTCATGTTTTAGACCCCCAAATAACCAAAAACTTGAAGATACATTTGCATAGCCACGTACACAGCAATATTATTCACAACATCCAAAAGGCAGGAGCAGCCCGAGGGTCCATGAGTGGATGGATGGATGGATGGATAAACAAAACAAGGTACAGACAACAAAATATCACCTGGCCTTAGAAAGGAAGAACATTCCGACATATGCTCCTCCATGGCGGGACCGGGAAGACATTGGGCTGAGGGAATAAGCCAGTCGCCAAAGGACAAATCTAGTGTGATTCTACTTATGTGAGATATGTAAGACAGTCCAATTCAAAAGGAGAGTGATGGCTGCCAGGGGCTGGGGACAGGGGTGGTGGGGATAGGGTTGAGGGGTGAGGGGTTGGGGAAACGGTGGAGAGTTAGCTGTTTAACGAGGACAGAGTTTCAGTTTGGGAAGATGAAGAGTTCTGTGGATGGAGGTGATGGCAGCACAACAATGTGGAATGTACTTCCTGCCACGGAGCTGTGCATTTTGGGGTTAAGATGCTACATTTTATGTTGTGTGCATTTTACTATGATTAAAAAGAAGTCTATATACCGCCCACCCAAACCTAGAGGTTAAAGAGAGGTCAGGCTCAGCCCGGATGCAGGGGGGAGTGTGCGACAGAGCCTCTGAGTACTGCGAGGTGAGTCACACAAAGACACCCCGACTCACAGCCAGAGCCCAGTGCCCAAGACTGTGGCTCCAGCAGCCCAGCTGGAGCCCAGCAGGCATGTCTGACAAACACCCCTGCCCAGAAACAACTCCACTGTCCTCCTCTGGCACCTCACCCCCCCCTCTCCTCCGCCCCCCTCCTCCTCCTAAAGCACGCCAGGCCCGCACCAACTGTCCCGTCACCTCCATCATCTTCCTCCAGGGGTCTGTGTGGCTCCCTCCCTCCCTTACCTCCTTCAACTCTTCGCTCAAATGGCACCTCCCAACCTCGGCCCTCAATAGATATTTGTTGACTAAATAAAGGAATCATCAACGAATCCTTCTGTTGCCTTCATCAAGTCCCGAGTTAGAGAACTCCACTCTAGGCATCGATCTACACATCACATGCAATAAGAATTACAGCTTTTTTTTTTTTTTTTTTTTTTTTTTTTTTTTTTTTGAGTGCCAAACACAAGTTTACAAGGCGGAGAGATCTGGGCATTTTACATGTGCTTACCCACTTAATTCTCAATCTTTTAGGAATTCATTCCTGAGCTCAGAGCCGTATGATTCCCATGGACCAGACGGGGAACCTGAGGCCCAGGGAGGTTAAGGCCTGACCCACTGGTCTCCAGGTGACTCGTAGAGAACCTTCTGGAACTCGCAGAGGAGGAGCCCAGGCAGGCAGCCCTTAAGGCACATGTGTCAAACACAAGGCCCGCGGGCCAAATCCGTCCCGCCAGGCCCTGCAATGTGGCCCGCACCGCACTGTCATCACTGCACTCCGCTGCGTTTCCATCACAATGACAGTTTATGACTGTTCAGTAAACCATTCGGCCCGCGATTTAGGCTGGATTTTAGATTTTGGCCCCTTCTCTGATTGAGTTCGACACCCCGGAGGCCACACTCGGCGCGGAGCTGGCCCGGGAACTCCGGCCATCACTTCCTCACATCAGTCTCGGGGTGAGCGAGGCAGGAGCCTGTGCTCGGAACCGGGGGTGGGGGGGGGGGGGCCGGCAGGGGCTCAGCTGCCTCGCTGGGTGAGAGGTCACTGGCTGACTCCGTGCCTGGTTCCCATCTCAGGAGGTTTTAGGTGGTTTAATTGCCGGGAAAACTCCCCACATATGCTTTGGGGGAGAAACACCCAATGGTATAAATGAACTCCAGCCCCTCTCCTTGCCCTTTAATTTTTCAATCCCTGTGTATTCTTTGGAAAAACTCAATCCATATGTCCCTCCGCTTTTATCCATCGACGTTTCCTAGGGAGTATCCAGCTTCCCCAAAACTCAGAGCTCCCCACTTTCCCGGTCTTCCCATCCCCCCCACCCCCCAACACTTTACAGACAGCAATTCCATCCCAGCCAGAGCAAACCTTGGGGGGTGCCCGAATGGCTCCGAGCCACTGAGGTGCCTGTGGGGCACCCCAGGGCCTGCCACCTCCCAGCCTCCCCGCTCAGACAGGCTGCATGCTCTCCGGGGTGTCCCAGCCCCGAGCATCCCATTGGGAATGGGGGAGGCCACTTGCAGGACCTCGGTACCCGATATGCATCTGGAGACAAGACAGCCAGCCAGGACGGCCTTATGGGAACCAGATGGAGCCTGGCCAGGCGTTCCGGATCGCTCTGCCGCTCCTGGTGGTGGCGTTCCACCGGGCCGGCGAGGAACAGGGTGAGGAGGGGCAGCGTGCCGGGTGGCAGGGCTGGATGCAGCCGGCTCTGGGGCCCCGCGCCAAGCTCCCCAAAGTGGAAGTGATAATTATTAGTGCCTGACATTGTGTAACACTTCATAGTTTAAGAAATGCTGTCAGCAGTTTGATGGAGCCAGTTTTCTTGGAGCCAAGACACTCGAAGCGTGATTCTTTGTCCCAGCTGCGCAGCCCCGGGCAAGCCACCTCGCCTCTGAGCCTCGGTTTACCACTTTGTGAAATGGAGACAAGATGGACCCCCGCCTCACACACTAGATGGGAGCCTCCTGAGAAGATGCCCACGAACACACTCGCCAATTGCAAAGCACTGCCAGCTGGGGGGGCCCGAGGCCGGGCAGGCACCTCAAATCAAGTCCTGATGCTCCACAGCCGGAGGGAGCATTTCAGGCTCCCCTGGGTTTTCCCACAAAGAAAGCCGATGCGTGTTCGGGCCTACCTTCCCATCCTGGACGCTCCCCGTTGCCAGCAGCACCTGGGAGTCCCGGATTCTGGGCGCCAGGAGGGCGGGTGCAGCCTCGGGGAGGGCTCGTCCTGCGGGGAGGAGGGGAGAAGGCGGCTTGGGTGGCCGTGCGGGGAGAGGGGCGGCTTCCTAGCAGGAAGGCCCGCAGACTCGAGGTGATGAGGGATTTCCCGAAGGGCTGGGTCCGACGGGAAGGGCAGGCCACGCATGATCAGGTGCTGCCTGCAGACATGGCCCCCAGTGACCCAGGCCCCCTCCCGGGGCTGGGAGACAGGCACGCAGGACAGGTGTGGCGCT